ACAATGACTCCCAAATGTCCCTTCTTTTGTTGGGTGATCTTGATTTTCAGATATGCCAGAAGGTTGGGAATACACAAGGGATTTTTAACCTTGACAATGTATTTCACCATTTGGGGGCTCTAAAAAAGATGAAGGCTGAGCCTAATATCTGTCAATTGCAGATTTTAGAATCTTGGGATATTTGCCTATAACATTGTCCCAGATCTATTGTAATTTCATAAAAAAAGCATTAGCAGCCCCACGTGTACAGAATGCCCTGCTGAAAGAGATGCACTTTCAAGTATAAAGTACCATTCCTTGCAAGGCACATAAGTTTAGGCAAACTGCTTAGTACACTGGAAATTTAAATTACATAATGTTCACATACTACATTTTCAATGAAAAACATGATATATAGCATAGCAAATGCATACTTTAGAAGGTGACATACTTAGAATCTACCTAACCAAAATTTGTCCCTGATTTGTTCTAGATATGTAACAAACACATCAAAAAACGCAGGATGGGGAATTATTACAACCTCTATCAGGAATTTTCTGCAGTCTTTGACCCCTTTTGTGTAACTTTCCTCACTTTTTATCCTGGCAGCCATTTCCTCAGGACAGAAAAATGTCTGACAGATGTTCTAGCCCATGAATTCTAAATTCAGTATGTAGCGTAATCACAAAAAAAAAAAAAAATGCTTATCATTAAAATTGTGGCATAGACATACAATTATACAGTAGGTACAAATATCCAGGTATGTCATATCACATTAAGCTTAATACAGCATAGGTATTTGCTCCATTATTAATTCCACCTGAGAAAAAATACATGCATGTATATAGGTACATACATGTATGTACAGTAGGTACACTGAGAAACAAAAAGTCATAAAGCAGCTGATGTTCAGAAATATATACAGGAGTTTAGTACCCGGAAAAGAATAATAGAGAAGAATAGGTGAGGCAGACCCTGGTGAAAAGAGAATGGAGGAAAAAAAAAAACCTAACATTTCAGGTAGTTCGAATCCCCTTTCTCAAGAACCTTCTGCCTCCTACCTATGCTGTACTATGCTTGATGTGATATGACATGCTTGGCTGTTTGTACCTATTGTATAATTGTTTGTACATGCATAATACAACTTCAGCGCTAAAACATTTTGTTATGAGGTGTGCTTAGTCTATATATTTAGAATTATTGTGCTATTACTCTATATATTACTCTCTATAAAATGATTATACTAGAATATTAATACACTGTGGAGAGGTTTAAGTATCCTAAATATAATGTATTGTTTGTTGCTAAATAATGTAGACAATAGTGGTGTGAAGACCTTTATTGCTAATTACAGAGAAGTTTTTTTTTATTGCTGTCGGTATCCCTATTATAGGATTTGTTCTGGCTATTGTTGGGACACGCACAGTAAAAAACAAGTAAAATGGTGGCACAGATAGCCATAGAAACCAGACAAAGATAGAAAAAAAAAGACAACTAGTTCTTGTAGAAGTTATATTTTAGAACAATGTATACTGTAAAGTTCATGACTGCAGATAAACACTAGAAACAAAGCAGTACATAGAAGCCATATTCTCATAGCCATCCTGTACATGGCAAGAATGGTGTTAGACTCCAGGGTTTGAGATAGTCATAACAGCGATATACATGTACACGGAGTCCAGATATCTGCTGTAATGTAGAAGGTATTGATATTCCATTTACTAATGCTATCACATTAAAAAAAAAAAAAAAAAATTCACTTAACACATTACATTTCTGCATCCTCTCCATCACTTTCTACCCTTCACATCAATCTCCACATTCCACTCCATATCCCTGTAGCTTCCTCCCTCTGCACACATCACATTACAGGCGGGCTATGATTTATGCAAATAAGAACAACGCTGCATAGTGATTGAGGATGGGCTTTGTTACATATGCCTTTATACCTATACGATTATAGACATATACGGAAATTGCATTTTATCTGTCACAGATGCCATATATTAATACTGACTGTACTTATAGAATGGCTTATACTAAATTACAGGGACTGGTTATGACAACAGAACACATTATGGAGATTTAAAGAGAAGGTTATAGAAGAAGGCTATGGTGAAACAGAAGTTATAGAAAAACCTTCATAAGTATAGGTGGAAATAACTACTGCATTACATCCATGGTACAATGGACATGTAAATAATCAATTGCATTAGATCACGTGGTGAATATTGGAAAAACATATCAAAATGAGGGGTTTTGGCATAACCGGCTATTCTTCTTAAACGATGCCTGTATTTACTGCAGCATCTCTCAGTAGCACTGCCATGCTGGTTGTCACGGTGACACAGACAGGAATACCTGCCACCAGCCCCAAGTGCCCAGCGCTGCCATCTGGCACACTTACATGCACTATTTGAAAGGCTGGCACAGCTGAACATGGAAGGGGGGGGCGTATAACTGACAGGAAATGTGCCAGGTGCGCGCCTGAGAGGCAGTTCAGTATACAGATTTTCAAGCCCACCATAAAACACAATCCTCCTAAACAATCAGACCTTAAAACAATCTCCTCTTAAACGATGAGAGCCTTGTCTCTAAATGCCGTGTCCCAATGTATGCCATTTACTGCATCTCAACAATGTATGGTGACCCTAATTATCGGCTACAGGCTTGTTGCCTACTGTTTAAAACAAGTAATTATGAATATTGTACACAAAGTTTAAGCCATACATCACAGTTAAGCATCTGGGATAATGATGCCCTTTGTATTACAAATCTAAGCATTTACAAAATGATATAGCAAGAGATTTCCACTCGTTTATAATGGCCATTTTGACCTATCATTCTATTCCGAGCCTGGCAATTTTTGAGAAGCGGTTGTTAATAAGACTAACTTACAGATGAGTCTTCAAGTCTCCATTCTCCAACTACATCTGGGAACATTTATTTTGCTCTCTGAAAACAAACAGCCTGAGTTTTATCTTCTGCACACAGAGACCTCACACATCATTCATCATCCCAACTACCAGAATATATTGGCTGCTAAAGGCCTAGGATAGCAGAGACTGGAGAAAAGAGAGGAGAGGGAATGAGCCGAGAGACAAGGGAAAAGGGAGACAGCGTCCAGATGAAGAGAATGTCTAATTAAACACAATGTTTCTAATGAAAGATCATTCTATGAGCATACAAGTTCATATCAAGTGAATTTCCAATCCTATTCTATTGAAGAATTGGAGTGCTATGGGCATAGTCTGCCTCAGGAGAAACTGTAGTGATCAGCCATTCCTGCTGACCAAATTTCCTCTTAGCCAGTAAATATTGGTCAAGATTGTGTGTTGAACATATCGATGTTCCCCAATCTGGCCATACCTGTAGATATGTGGATTGTGCTACCACTCTCTAATTTCTATAGGGAAGTTAAAGCTGAACTCCAGGAAAAAAAAAATCATACACACAATATATATTCAAATGATTATCCTTGATAACATAAATTACTAATCAGCCAATCACATGGCAGCAACTCAATGCATTTAGGCATCTAGATGTGGTGAAGACGACTTGCTGAAGTTCAGACTGAGCATCAGAAAGGGGATTTAAGTGACTTTGAACGTGGCATGGTTGTTGGTGCTAGATGGGCTGGTTTGAGCATTTCAAAAACTGGTGATCTACTGGGATTTTCATGCACAGCTATCTCTAGGGTTTACAGAGAATGGTCCGAAAAAAAAGGCAAATATCCAGTGAGCGGCAGTTGTGTGGACAAAAATGTCTTGTTGATGTCAGAGGTCAGAGGAGAATGGGCAGACTGGTTTAAGATGACAGAAAGGCAACAGTAACTCAAATAACCACTTGTTACAACCAAGGTATACAGAATACCATTTCTGAATGCACAAACACTGAACCTTGAAGAAGATGGGATACAACAGCAGGAGACCACACTAGGTGCCATTCCTGTCAGCTAAGAACAGGAAAAGGAGGCTACAATTTGCACAGGTTCACCAAAATTGGACAATAGAAGATTGGAAAAACATTTTCTGGTCCTGGTCTGAAGAGTCTCAATTTCAGCTGTGACTGAATTTGGCGTAAAGAACACGAAAGCATGGATCCATCCTTCCTTGTATCAACAATTTAGGCTGGTGGTGGTGTAATGGTACGCTTTGGGCCCCTTAGTACCAACTTAAATGCCATGGCCTACCTGAGTATTGTTGCTGACCATGTCCATCCCTTTGATTACAGTGTACCCATCTTATGATGGATACTTCCACCAGGATAATGCAGCATGTCACAGAGGTCAAATCATCCCAAACTGGTTTCCTGGACATGACAGTGAGTTCGCTCTCCTCCAATGGCATCCACAGTCACCAGATCTCAATCCAATAGAGCACCTTTGGAATGTGGTGTAACAGGTGATTCACATCATGGATGTGCAGCCGACAAATCTGCAGCAACTGTGTGATGATAATATCATGTCAATATGGACCAAAATCTCTGTGGCATAGATTCAACAAGATGTTGGAAATATTCCTCAAAGAAATAAGGTAGTTCTGAAGGTAAAAGTGGGTCCAACCCATTACTAACAAGGTGCACCTAATAAAGTGGCTGGTAAATGTATGTGTGTGTATTATATATATATTTTGACAAAAGTTTTATAGAACATTTGTTTAGCTCATTAAATGAATGTGAGGGTAATAATATAACTTAGATTACAACATTTTCAGTTGTACTCAAATTAGTTGATGCAAAAATGAACACACCCCACAACAAAAAGTACTACATCTAGTATTTTGTATGACCTCCGGGATTTGTAAGGACAGCACAAAATCTTTTAGGCATGGAATGAACAAGTTGGTGACAAATTGCAACATCGTTCTTTTTCCATTCTTCAAGAACGACCTCTTTTAGAATCTGGATGCTGGATGGAGCATGATGTTCAACTTGTCTCTTCAGAATTCCCCATAGGTGTTTGACTGGGTTCAGATCAGGAGACATACTTGGCCACTGAATCAATTTCACCCTGTTTTTCTTCAGAAATGCAGCAGTGGCCTTAGATGTGTATTTTGGATCATTGTCATGTTGGAAAAGTGCACGATGACCAAAGTGATGGTCACATCTTCTCTTTCATTTTAGAGCAGTACATCTGTAAATGCATGATACCATCAATGAAATGCAGCTCCCCGACACCAGTAGCACTCATGCAGCCTCAAAGAAGGACATGGCCACCACCATGTTTCAATGTAGGCACCATGCATTTTCCTTTGTACTCCTCACCTTTGTGAGGCCATACAGTTTTGAAGACATCAGTTCCAAAAATATTTATCTTGGTCTCATCACTCCAGAGTACAGAGTCCCCATAGTCTTCTTCTTATTCAGCATGGGCCCTGGCAAATTCTAGACGGGATTTTTTGTGCATGAGCTGTAGGAGAGGCGTCCTTCGTGGATGACACCCATGCATGCCATTCCTCTGCAGTGTATGTCATATTGTGTCTGAGGAAACAATAACCCCAAGTTGGCTTTCTACTTCTTTAGCTAACTGCAGTGAACTTGCATGGAGATTTTCTTCAACCCTTCTCATCAGGAGACGCTCCTGTCGAGGTGTTAACTTCCGTGGACAGTCTGGATGCCTTTGCGAGATGGTTGCAGTTCCATCCTTGCTAAATGTTTGTATCACTTTTGCTACAGTATTCTGACTGATAAGTAAAGCTTTGCTGATCTTCTTGTAGCCTTCACCTTTCTTGTGTACAGGAATTATTTTCTTTCTCAGGCCTTGGGACATTTCTCTTCCATGTGGTGCCATTGCTGACAGCATGAAATGGGAAGGGGTTTTCTTTGTCAAGTAACACCCTTTTATAATCAACTGTCTGCTGGACACCTGTTTAATGAATAATTAGACTTATTTGTAGTTGAATTCTTGTCAGTTTGGATTTTGTTGTCTAAATGTTAGCTCTGCTCCTAAGACTTTCATTGGGGTGTATTCATTTTTGCAAAATGGCCTAGCATGAATTTGTTAGGAAAAATACTTTGTGCGTGCAAATTAACAAATCTTGCTTGCAATCAATGGGCCACATTTGTGGGAGTATTTTGTAGTGTAGCGTCATATAGAAAATGTTGATTCTGAAAGGAAAGTAAAGGTTTTCTGACACATTTGTTGGGGTGTACTCAATATGCTTAGCACTGTGTATGTATGTATGCATTATATATATATATATATATATATAATCTCAATGGGGAAAAATGTCATGCTGGATATCTATACTGATATGGACTGGGTAATGTGTTAGGAACGTAAGGATGCCCCATCATTTGATGTAAATGAAATTGATCAACCTACAGAGGACTGAATTCAAAGACACCCCGAAAATCAAAGTGAAAAAGTGATGCAGTAGGCTAGTCCATTTTGCGGAAATTTCATTGCAGCAGCTCAAAATGGTACTCAGTAGTTTGGCCCCCACGTGCTTGTATGCATGCCTGACGTCAGGGCATGCTCCTATTGAGACAACGGATGGTATCCTGGTGTATTTCCTCCCAGATCTGGACCAGGGCATCACTGGACAGTCTGAGGTGCAACCTGGCAGCGTTGGATGGACCGAAAAATGATATCCCAGAGGTGTTCTATTGAATTTAGGTCAGGCGAGCGTGTGGGTCATTCAGTTCCTTCGTCCTCCAGGAACTGCCTGCACACTCTCGCCACATGAGGCCGGGCATTGTTGTGCACCAGGAGGAACCCAGGACCCACTGCACCCAATGTAGGGTCTGACAATGTGTCCAAGGATTTCATCCTGTTACTTAATGGCAGTCAGGGTGCCATTGTCTAGCCTGTAGAGGTCTCGATATGCCTCCCCAGACCATCACTGACCCACCACCAAAACGGTCATGCTGAGCAATGTTACAGGCAGCATAACATTCTCCACAGCTTTTCCAGACCCTTTCACTTCTGTCACATGTGCTCAGGGTGAACCTGCTCTCATCTGTGAAAAGCACAGGGCACCAGAAGCAGACCTGCCAGTTCTGGGGTTCAATGGCAAATGCCAATCAAGCTCTATGGTGCTGGGGAGTGAGCACAGGGTCCACTAGAGGACATCGGACACCCAGGCCACCCTCATGATGTCTGTTTCTGATTGTTTGGTCAGAGAAATTCACACCAGTGACCTGCTGGAGGTCATTTTGTAGGGCTCTGGCAGTGCTCATCCTGTTCCACCTTGCACAAAGGAGCAGATACCAGTCCTGCTGATGGTTAAGGACTTTCTACGGCCCTGTCCAGCTCTCCTAGAGTAACTGGCCATCTCCTGAAATGTCCTCCATGCTCTTGAGACTGCTGGGAGACACAGCAAACCTTCTGGAAATGGCATGTATTGATGTGCCATCCTGAAGGAGTTGGACTGCCTGTGCAAGCTCTGTAGGGTCCATGTATCACCTCATGCTATCAGTAGTGACACTGACCCTAGCCAAATGCAAAACTAGTGAAAAGCAGTCAGAAAAGATGAGTAGGGAAAAATGTCAGTGACCTCCACCTTTAAAACCATTCCTGTTTTCATTGTCTCATTGTTGCCCATCTAGTGCACCTGTTGTTAAATGTAATTAACACCAAAGCAGCTGAAACTGATTAACAACCCCCTCTTCTACTTAACTGACCAGATCAATATCCCAGGAGTTTAATTGACTTGATGCTATACTCTGATTACATACATACACACAGTTGAGCTAAATATATAAGGGAGCTGGGGAGCTATTTTACCTGGATTTGTACTTCTGTCTATCCAGTCCTGAGAGTTGCAAGGCCCTACCAAAGTGTGCAACAATTTATTGACCTCGCTTTTCTCTGCTTTGCTCATGCCAACCATTCTTAACCAGGGTTCAGTGGAACCCTAGGGTTCATTCAGAGGTTGCTAGACATTCCTTGAGTTGTAGCCAACTGGCCTTCCATCTGATGGTATCTGCATAGCTTCAGGGCCAATGCCACTTAGCTGAGCCAGCAGCATGTCCCAATTTTCCTTTTAGCTGTCTGTAAGGGGCTGACCACCAATGTAAGGGGCATTTTTACTCCAGGATTCACTATATATGCAGTGCAAGATCATAAAAGCCATTGCTGCTTCTGACAGCGAGCCTCATTAGATTTAGAGACATCTCTATTGTGCTGCTCACAGTTCTCTTTCCTGGAGAGGAAGCTGTACCTGAGGACCTGCATTGAAGGATCTCACTGTTTATGCTTGATTCATTCCATATATCCATTCAGTCGTATTTTGTTTACCTGAGGAGGTTCCTTAAAGCTCTATTTAAGCAAATTGGCAGGGAAAAACAGAGATTTCAAGTGGTATTAACTAAAGTTAAAAAAATATATATAAATGTGTTTTTGCTCAACACGCTAAACTGAGATTCAGGTATATTTAAAACTAGACGTTTACCTACAGAGCCTTGAAAACGTATTCATACCCCTTAAAAGTTTCCATATTTTGTCATGGTACAACCAAAAACTTAAAATGTATTTTATTGGGATTTTATGTGATAGACCAACACAAAGTGGCACATAATTGTGAAGCGGAAAGAAAATGATAAATGGTTTTCAACATTTTTTACAAATAAATATTTGAAAAGTGTGGTGTGCTTTTGTGTTCAACCCTCTTTATTCTGATACCCCTATATAAAATCTAGTGGAACCAACTGCCTTCAGAAGTCACCTAATTAGTAAATAGAGTCCACCTGTGTGTAATCTCAGTATACATACAGCTGTTCTGTGAAGCCCTCAGAGGTTTGTTAGAGAACATTAGTGACCATGAACGCCAAGGAACACACCAGGCAGGTCAGGGATAAAGTTGTGGAGAAGTTTAAAACAGGGTTAGATTATAAAAAAATATCCCAAGCTTTGAACATTTCATGGAGAACTGTTCAATCCATCATCCGAAAATGGAAAGAGTTTGGCACAACTGAAACACACCAAGACATAGCTGTCCACCTAAAGTGACAGGCCGGGCAAGGAGATCAAGAAGCAGCCAAGAGGCCCATGGTAACTCTAGAGAAGCTGCAGAGATCCACAGCTCAGGAGGAAGAATCTGTCCACAGGACAACTATTAGTCATGCACTCCACAATTCTGGTCTTTATGGAAGAGTGGCAAGAAGAAAGCCATTGTTGAAAGAAAACCATAGGAAGTCCTGTTTGCAGTTTGCGAGAAGCCATTTGGAGGACACAACAAACATGTGGAACATGGTCAGATGAGACCAAAATGTAACTTCTTGGCTAAAAGCAAAACGCTATGTGTGGTGGAAAACTAACACTGCACATCACCCTGAACACACCATCCCCATCGAGAAACATGGTGGTGGCAGCATCATGTTGTGGGGATGCTTTTCTTCAGCAGGGACAGGGAAGCCAGTCAGAGTTGATGGGAAGATGGATGTAGCCAAATACAGGGCAATCTTAGAAGAAAACCCGTTAGAGTCTGCAAAAGACTTGAGACTGGGATGGAGGTTCACCTTCCAGCAGGACAATGACCTTAAAAATACAGCCAGAGCTACAATGGAATGGTTTAGATCAAAGTATATTCATGTGTTAGAATGGCCCAATCAACGTCCAGACCTAAACCCAATTGAGAATCTGTTGCAAGACTTGAAAATTGCTCTTCACATACGCTCTCCATTCAATCTGACAGAACTTGAGCTATTTTGAAAAGAAGAATGGGCAAAAGTTTCACTCTCTAGATGTGCAAAGCTGGTAGAGACATACCCAAAAAGACTTGCAGCTATGATTGCAGCGAAAGGTGTTTCTACAAAGTATTGACTCAAGGGGTCTGAATACAAATGCACGCCACACTTTTCAGATATTTGTAAAACATTTTGAAAACCATTTATCATTTTCCTTCTACTTCACAGTTATGTGCCACCTTGTGTTGGTCTATCACATAAAATCCCAATACAATATCTGTACATTTTTGGTTGTAACTTGAAAAAATGTGGAAAATGTCAAGGGGTATGAATATTTTTTCAAGGCACTGTGTAGCAATTGGTTCTTTGGTATATGCTTCCAACTCTTCTTTCACATAACCTAGAATCAATAATGTCCTCAGAAAAGTCCAGTCTGTTGGAACACATATAGATATTCCATTCCTCCTTTCCACTTTTATTCACTGTGACTTCTGTTTTCATTACAAAGCCCCCTGGCATCCCATGGAATTTAATCTTAATAATTTAGGGATCCACAATAAACTATGTGCAGTGATTAGTATGTGCTGAGGGAGAAAGGAGGAGAGATGCTGATTTCCAACACCTCACTTGGTTTCAAACTGAATTATTTATAACAGATTAGATGTAAACGTACTGTTCCTTGCTTGCAGGCTCTGGAACCACTTTCAGCAAAAAAAAGGACTGCCTGCTACTAAATCAGCAGGG